TGATAGAAGAATTCCTTTGAATAAGGAGCCTTGAGTGAATCCTGCTTCCCTGAACCATAGCTATGAGACAGCCAAGCCTGATGCCTGAGGACAAAACAGACCAGGAATCTTGATTATGAGGTGTAACAGGCGGTCTGAAAAGTCCAGTCCCAGGATCACCCAATGCCTCCTCTTCTCATTCTAGGATTCTTAATAGCTACATTCTCTTTCAAATTATCTATCCTTGTCCACATTTGGCAGAGACAAACATTCCATCCAGACTGGGCTGAATGCTTCTGTGGATTCATATGACTATCTTTTACTGACACAAACTCCAAAAATCTTTATGGTATTGAACTTAAGCAAACCAAATTTTAAAAGAGAATAAAGGACCCATGATTTCACGAAGCCCAGGGATGCAGCAAAAGGTATTTCTGCAGTCTATCTGACTCATTATGTGTGGATTTTCATAGAGTATTTATTTAAAGAGAGGCACAACTGACCTCATTGTGTCATTCTCGTTTGCTGAGGGTCAGTCATCAGACACCTCTAACCCTGGACACATCTGCCTGATTGGCACTGTGCCCATTGCTCTATTTGCTCCTAATTCAACATTCTAATAGTATAATTTGTCTGCTGTGTAGCGGAGAAAGGACTCTAACATCTGATAAAGGAGGGGGAAGGAGTGGGAGTAGGCACTACTGAGGTCTCTGCCAACCCTGAGCATACTATCTTTGCAAAAATAGGCATATTTCCCCCCTTTGCCAGGAGGTCAGAAGAACTGGTGATTGGCTACTGTTACTGGGCATTCTCATCAAAGATTCTAGAAAATAATTCTGAGTTTTAAAAGAGGAAATTACAGAATAAAATTTAAAATTCTTGTGGGTTCTAGGCTTTCTGGGGTCATAGAGGATGAATGCATTCCTGTAACTATCACCTTTAGGTAATCTTTAAACTTTCAATCAAAACTACCCCCTGAAGTCTTTTTAAAACCAATTAACAGTTTAGCTCGGTGGGGAAAGGCTTTTGTTTTTGAGTATTGTATCTATCTCTATGGGATAAAATTGATAAACAACAACTTAAAAGATGAGAAATGAAATTTAGGGGGTGTGAGGTTATGCTAACTCAGAAAAATAGGGTAAGAATGGTTGTACAACTCCAAGAATAGAACCAATTTCCTAGATTTACAGCTGTAGCAATTGTTGGCCCAGTGCACGTTGTTGCTGTACCTATCCTCAACCACCAAATGAAGAAATATTTGAAAGATGAAAACCTGAGCACCTTTGAGGGCCAAGAACTGAATTCAGATTTAAAGTAGCTTCTCTTTCAAAGGAAGCATAATGCATGCCCTCTGTACATAGGGTTGCTATGAGTCACAGGCAACTCGACGGCACATAACAACAACAAAGCATCAAGAACTTAAAAGTTAGGAGAAAATAGTTTTTAAAATAGTATGAGAGCACACATAACAAATTAATAGACTTTAACAACCCCAGAATGCAGGAAATGAGTTGGAGCTATCAAGACTTCCTAAAGAGCTAAAATTTGAGTGAAGTCAGATTAGACATACAGTTGTTGAACGGATCTGAACCCTGCCCTATCCTGTGCCATCCTCAGGATTTCTGATATACTTCTACCTATAGTTACAATCACTGTGTCAGTCCATCTTGTTGAGGGTTTTCCTCTCTCAACATTGACCCTCTGCCTTTCCTCACATGATGTGCTTTTTCAAGGGCTGGCCTGTCATGACAACATTCCTAAACTATTGAGATGAAGTTTCACCACCCTGGCCTCCAAGGAGCACCCTGGTTGCACTGTCTCTAAAATGCATTTGCTTTTTTTTTTTTTTTTAATTTTTTTGGTAGTTCTTCTTTCATCCTTATTCAATGTCCAGTTTTCAGTACACCTTACTCTTTAAACTGATATCATTGCTTTTCAGGACTTTGGAGAAGTCCTTGACAACAGACTTTCTCAGTGCAATTTATCTTTTGATTTCTTCATTGTTTGTACCAAGGGTGTTGATTATAGATCCAAATAAGATAAAATCATTAACAATTTCAATATTTTCTCCATCTTTCATGATATTGCTTATTTATCTAATGGTGAGGATTTTTGTTTTCCTCAGGTTGAGACATGGTACATATTGAAGGCTGTATTCTGCTGTAAGCATTTTAACTTCTCCTGACTTTGAGTAAGCAGGGTTGTGTCATCTGTGTAAAGCTGGTTGTTGATAAATTTTTCTCCAAACCTGATGCCATAATCATAAAGTCCAGCTTCGCAAAATATTTGCTCAATATACATATTGAATAGGTATGGAGAAAAGATACAGTTCTTATGCACACCTTTCTTTATTTTAAACCATGCAGAGTTTCTGTCTTTTGTTCAGATAATAGCCTCTTAGTCTAGGTATAGGTTTTGCATGAGCACACTAAGTATTCTGGGTTTACCATTCTTCTCAACGTTAGCCATAACTTGGCTAGTGTATTAGCCACAGTCAAATACTGCTGCATCGTTAATAAAACATAGCTAGATGTCATTTGATATTCTCTGCTTTCAACCAAGATCCAACTGTCATTGGCAATTATATCCCTGGTGCCATGGTCTCTTCTAAATCCAGCTTGAATTTTGAAGGGTGACTTGAAAAGACAAAATGAAATATTATAACAAAATTTGCAAAGAGCTTGAGTCAGAAAATTAAAAAGGAAGAACTTGCTCAGTGTATCTCAAGCTGAAAGAACGTAAAAAGAAATTCAAGCCTTGAGTTACAACACTGAAGGATCCAGGAAGCATCAAAAAAGATGGGAAGAAAACACAGAGTCACTGTACCAAAAAGAACTGGCTGACACAAAATAATTTCAGAAAGCAGCATATGATCAAGAACCAATGGTAAAAAAGGAAGTAGAAACTACATTGAAGGCATTGGGGAAAACTAAGGATTTGATAAAACACCAATTAATGTTCCAGCAAACAGATACAGCTCTAGACAGGCTCACAAGGCGGTGCCAGGTGCCAAAAAATCTGGAAGACAGCCATGTAGGCCAACTAACTAGAAGAGATCCATGCTTGTTTCCATTCTCAAAATGATGTGCTGCAGGCTCTTTGTGTCTGCATAGCAGGCCAAACTCTCTTTCTGACTTCTTTGCCACCATGGCACCTGTGAAAAAGCCTGTAGCAAAAAACGGTTTAAAAAAAAGGAAGCAGTGTCTGAAGTTCACCCTTGACCGTAGTCATCCAGCAAAAGATTGAATCACGGATGCTGCCAATTTTGAGCAGTTTCTTCAAGAAAGAATCAAGGTTAATAGGAAAGCTGGTAATCTTGGTAGAGGGGCTGTAACCATCGAAAGAAACAAGAGCAAGATAACTGTAACCTCTGAGGTGGCTTCTTCCAAAAAGCATTTGAAATATCTCACCAAAAAATATTTGAAGAAGCATAATCTACATGATTGGCTGTGTGTAGTTGCTAACAGCAAAGAAAAAATTTATGAATTACTTTTACTGAATACTTTTTAATAAATTACGTTACTTCCAGACTAACCAGTATGAAGAGGAAGAAGACAAGGATTAAAACCCATTCATCTTGAATATTTTGTATACACCCTTGAATAAAACATGGGAACAACAATAGCAACAACAAGTGGTCCAATAGGTGGACATTATCAAACTAAATCATTAATATCACATGTAAACAAAGTCTTGGGGAAGATTATTTAAAGACAGCTAAAACAGTACATTGACAGAGAGCTGTCAGAAATTCAAGATACACAGAGAAGAGGGCAACAGTCATTCCAAGGCAGGAGGAGAGTAGGAAGGACATAGAAGGAGATCCACCAAGAACATAGCATTAAGAGTCTTGTTTAATGGGTAATAAGAGTGAAGGCTGGCAAAGGCTAGCAAATGCAAAGTTAGTAGACACAGACAAGCACGTGGAGATTTTAGAAGCGGCTACCTCTCTGATGTGCGAGCCAAGAATGGCATAGTTACTATTTTTTGCATACATTTATTGATCACCTGCAAACACTTAGGGCACACATTAGGTGGGACTTACATTCTAGTGTGGGCATTGGAGTGGGGAGGCCAATGGTATTCTCTGTTAGATAAGTACTACAAACTCCATGAAATGAGACAATGTGAATGAAAGTCATTTGGAGGTGTGGTACTTTGGACAGAGAAACCCACTATCTCCAAGAGCAAGGTTATGTGAGAAGATCACATCTGAGCGGAGACCTGATGATGAAAAGGGGCAGCCACATAAAGACTTCACAATCCCTCCAGACAGAAAACTTGGGTTGCTAGAGGCACATTAAGGAGAGGACACCCAGTAGGTGGCTGGTAGTAGGAGACAGTGGGGACCATAACATGTATAGGGAACTCTAGTGGCCTAATAGGGAGTACTGGTGGCCTGGTGGCAAGAAGATGCCCTGCAATCCTTAAGGCACATGGTTTGAATCCACCAGCTCCTTCCAATGATTAACTGCCTCTGGAAGCCTGCCAGAAAACCAGCTACAGGTCGATGATTCCTATTCCACAGCACACAACAGTGGCCTAATGGGTAGGGAGTTGCCCTGTCAACCCAAAGGCAAGTGGTTCTAATCCACCAGCTTCTTTTCAAGATAAAGATGAACAATCTCCTCCCATGCTGCTTATAGCCTCTGAAACTGTGTGTGAGGGTCACCGATGAGTCTGTTCTGACTCAATAGCAATGAGGAAGTGAGCCAAATCATGTGTGCTCTCCCAAGCCACAGAGAGGAGAGGCTGAGATAGAGAAAATGTATAGAGTGCATGAGGGAGCTCTGGTGGTCTAGTGGCAAGAGGCTGCATTGTAATCCCAGAGGTACATGGTTCAAATCTATCAGATGTTCTGCTGGAGAAGGAGGGGCTAATCTCCTCCTGTACCAGTCAGATCCAATTTGACGGTACACATACAAATAATAATAATTTTTAAATTTTTTTTTTAAAAAAAGATAAAGTGCACGAGCAGGAACAGGGCATCTTTGTAATTTTTCTGCACATTTTCTTCCCAGAGGCCAGAAAACTTCCTGACATCAAGCAACAGTAAGCTGCTACCCATCCTGGATCCCAAGATCCTAGATGATACTCTGCGCGCCATCCAGGAGTCCTGGTCAAAGTCCACTGTGAGCTCTAGAACGGATTCCAGCACAATCAGCCTTCAGGAGACAGAGGAGGAGCCTCAGGAGGCAGAGACGTTCAGTGAAAAGGTGAGTGGGCCTCTCTAGGGCAGAGGGGGCCAGAGCAGAGGCAGGGTTTAGGAGAAGAGGGCTTCTGTGCCACCTGTGGGCATAGCTCACTCTGCAGGGGATAAGTCAACCTGGGGAGATGTTCTGAATGGGAGTGACCCCACTGGTGACCTGGCGAAAGAAGTGAATTCTTCCATTTTTGGAGCTTTGCTACCTTATGAATGGACACTCCATAGGATCTCTTTAAAAAAAAAAAAATCCCTCCAGTGCTGCTTGTAAGGCAGGGTCCTATTTGTTCAAGAAATCATTAACTCGGAAACTTCTTAGGAGCATGCCCATCAGATAATGGGAGTTTCCTGAGAGAGTGGAGGTTTTTTGGTATTGTTTTTCTTTTTGGTTTTTTTTTAACTTCTAAAAAGGAGAGATCAGGGCTCAAAGAAGAGAGGACACTATCCAGTGTCCTTGACTCTAAGGAGCTAGGTATCTTCCTGCTGTCCCTTTGACCAGATGCTTGGGAAGCATTAAGGAAGGTGATACAGTGACCGAGGAGACCCAAAGTCTAGCCTGTCAAGAAGCACTGTACTCAAAGTCCCCAGCTGAAGTCTTACGTCAAAGACCGTGGTTGAATTCATGTGTGGCTTCCTCCCTTCTTCCACAGCGAATCCCATGGGGAACGCTGATGCGGAAGATCCTGAGAAAAGGTCCACACCAAGTCTGCCCGCCACTAGGGGACCCCGGGGGACCCTCCTCTGAGGACCTGCTCCCTTTTGCTGACCACCTCCTCATTTTCCCCTGGCACTTCTGTACCTTTCTGAAACATGTCCCATCAGATGAATAGGAGAGGAGGTGACAAAATCGCCACAGATGGGACTGTCCTCTGCCCAGTTTAGAGCAGGACCCTCCCCATCACCACAGTTTTTATGCACCAACTTCTACAACTCCCCTCCTCCCATCTCTGCCCTTTGGGAAAACAACCCCCAGGCTCAATCTTCCAGCTGAGTCATTAAATGGGTTAGAAATAAAAATCTTGCCTTTTGAGACTTTAACCCAATACCTTCTGGCCTGAGCATCCTGCTCCTACTACTCCTCATTCTTGTACCTCTGTGCAGAGGCAGTAAAGGAGAAGTGAGAGGATGGCTAAAAGGCCAGAGGAGAAAGGAAAGGTGACGATGCCATCATATGGGAAAGGCTGACAGGAATGAAGTAGAAAGGCGAAGGCCTTTCCTCCCTGTCCATAGCCCTGCAGAGCTGTCTCTCCTCCTCTTCTTACTCTTCCAGCTCAGTCTGGGCAGAGTTGGGGGTGGGGGTCGGGGGTGAGAGACACTAGCCAGACAAGCCTTATCCCTCATCTGGTTAAGCTCCTCCTCATCCAGGATAAAGAATGCAGTTCCTGTGTCATACTAAGCCTGGGAGCAGGGGGCCCTGTATGCCACCTGAGAAGACAGGTCTGTGATCTCAGCCACTTGGGCACTGAACACAAACTAGACCCATGATTAGGTAGTATAGCAGGCACCTATTCCTGATATTATCTATAGCAGGGTCTCCTGGGTTTGCATGGAGTGAGGATTTTGCTAGACAAAAAAATAAAATGCCAAAGTTGAGGTCCATGGGTCTGTAGGTGGGGATGATTAGATTCAGGACAATACTGTAGACTTGTTTAGAGCAAGGTAGAATGTAGAAAAATTGATTGGGTCAGATTCTTCATTCTAGTCCTAAAATTATATGACGATGTTGATGATGATATGGGAAAGGAGAAGAAGAAGATTGACTACGGGAGGGATCTGAAATGTGAAGATGTTTAACAGTATTTTTTTAAAAAACATCTGAAATAGTACTATTCAATTTGAAATAATAAAATGTGTTCTATGGGCATAGTATATATTCGTAGCAGGGTAGTAGACCCTTTTGCCTTGATCTTAAGGATTAAGGTAAAAATAAATGGAACTAAAGTGCAGTAGAAATGTCAAGGTTACCCATGAGGAGAAACTATTTGAGAGAGTGTAGCCATTGTAAGTGACAGAAAGAAGGAAGAGTAATTAATATGTTAAGAAGTTACCAAGTGATAGCCAGAGGGCTCAGAGCAGCCCCATACACACAGACTGAAAGCGCAATATGGATCAGCTGGGTCTAATCCAAGCCCATCCACCCTGAATCCCATCCAACAGTCCGATAAACTTTTTTGCTCACTGAGAGAGCTTGATGGTCCGCCTAGTCTTCCCTCCTTCTAACACCTAGGAGGCCACCCTGGCTGACTGCTAGCCCTGATTTGCTAATGGTTAAGTCCACTCAGACCCCATCATTCAGCCCTTGAGCTAAAGTGCACACTGCCTCTCACATCTCTAGGCTCCAGGCCTGACCCAGCACCCCAAAAACCCCAAACCAAACCAACTGCTATTGAATTGATTCCAGAGAGTTGATTCCCTTGGTCTTCCAAGGTTATCTTTATAGGGGAGACTGTCCATTTTCTCCCATGGAGCAAGTGATGGGTTTGAGCCCCACTTGTTTCCACAGACTTTGACAAATGCTTGTTGGGTCTCATAGCAGAATCCACAGCCTGGATAGCAATAACAGAAGGAATCTTAGCATGAATCTGTCTGATCTTCTTTTACAAAAGATTCAGTGACAAGAACCAAAGGTGAAACATCTCTGATCCTCCTATTCCATCGCTTTCTTTGCACAGAGCCAAACAGAAATACCACATGGCTATAGAAGCCTGCCCACCTAGCACTGGTTCCTCCAACCAGTTTCCCACCATGAGGTCCATCAGACGTTCATATAGTATTCATACAGTATATACTCCCTCCCTTCCCATCCCAACTTGTCCCAGACTTACCCTGTTCCCCCCTATTTTTGTTCACACTTGTTTTACCCTTTTCCCTCTCACCCTTGCCCTCCAGTCCTCTAACTCACCATCCTTTCTGTCTCATCTCAGATTAACCGTGCTAATGATGTCCACCTCTGACACTTTACCCTATTTGGAGACCCATCCTCAAGCTCCAACTCCTTCCTGTCTAGTCAGTGAATCGGAGTAGAACCCAGACAGCCACCTTCATGGGTCATCAGGGTCAGATACAATTCATTGCACATGGGTAGAAAGCAACAGCACCCAGCTCTGTGACCATTGCAGGTGTCCCAGTCAAAGTCACATAGTGGTGGAAAAACTGATAGAACCAGGAGGCACAGTGACGAGCACTAGATTTTGGTCATGAAGCAGCAGATGTAGCTGCAATAGATAGCAATAGATCCAAGCCAGAGAGTGATCAGAGAATAGTAGTAAAGGTGGTGTGTGTTGGGCTTCTATGCAAAAGCAGGCTATATAGGAGAAAGATGGACAATCTCCTCCTGTCAAGATTCACAGCCTTGGAAGACCACTAGAGGATGGCTCTGAGCCAGAACCAAGTTGAAGGTAATGAGCTTTGGTTCATGGATACTTAAGTCATAGACAGGCACTTTGAGATACTTGGATGGCACTTGAATGATGTGGGCAGCAATGATACAGTCACAAAGTGTATCCCTACCTCCTGGGAGTGTCTTCAGGGGCCGAGAGACAGCAGTGCAATAGTGACTGTGTTGTGGCCACATGACTAACCTCCTCCTTGGCTCTCACCCTTGTTCCTCTGCCTGTGAGCCTCTCATCATCACCTGAATGCCAGCGTGCTTGCCTGTGTCTGGTCTTGCAGCACATCCCCTAGAGCCCAAGAAACAATTTTGCCTCTGATTCCCTCCAGAGCCTACTTTGGCTTAATAGGAAATGAGCATTTTGTGGCGCATGTTCAGATTGGAAGGGGGTGGAGGGATGCAGGGGCTGCACCCTGTGGAAGAGGAGCCACAAATGCTCCCCGCTGCTCAGAGCCCTTCAGTCCCCACTCCAGCCCCACCTGCCTTACTGGGGGCCCCTCCCCTAAGTGTGCGTTGATGTGCACTCCTGGGTGTCAGTGCAGCCATTTCTTCCCATCTCAGACTCCCTTCACTCAGGACACCTGGTTTTGATGCAAACCTTTCCAATGCTTTTTTGTCAGCAGTGCAAAACTCTGGTCCTGGTGGGTCACTGGTGGTCACTAAGGCCCCTTAGATGTGGTCATGCTCCGGACACAGGAGAGCTCCAGAAAGCCTTTAGCTCCTTCCAAATATCCCAGGAAGTATGTTTTGCATAAGTGAATGTGAAGAAAGAGATATTAAGCAGCATCATGAACAAAGCACTTCCCTAAATATGAAACAAACTGCAAGGATTTCACCTTCACACCTGGACACCCTGAGCACTCACCCCCAGACAGTGTCTCCAACTTCAGGACAAAAGCAGATCAGGTGAACAGCTTCTTGCAGTCTCTTGAGGGTCAGTTCCATCCACAAGGAGGCTATAATACACACAAATGCTAAGAAACCCTGTGGCACTGTGGGCTAAGGATCGGACTGCTAACTGAAAAGTCAGAGATTCGAACACACAGCCGCTCGGCAGGACAGAGATGAGGCAATCTGCTTGCATAAAAAATGACCCAGGGAACCCGATGGGGCCGCTCCACTATGTCTCACAGGGTTGTTAGGAGTGGAAATTGGCGCAGTGGCAGGGGGACAGTGTGTCTTGATTCTCCATCCTGCAATTCCCCTAGCCAGTCAGAAAGCCGGAGCTCTTAGGTCCCCCACCCTGCCGTATGCCCTGCCCTGTATTTAGCTGTGTGGGAGACAAAGGAAGAAAAGACAGAAAGCCCTAAGCTCCGGAAGGTCCCTGTGTGATCACAAACCATAGTAACAGGTGGAGCTTTTTATGGGGCAGGTCACTGTTGACTTAGCATGGTTTTTTTTTGGGGGGGGTTGCATTTTTTTAATTAATTATAATAAAAATTTACAGAGATTGTGGATTTCCATTTATTCATTGTTGCACTTTTCTCCCTGCCCATCCCCGCCCCCTTCCCAGTACACGCTTCTCTTTGAAAAGTAAGAGAAAAGTTCCCCCATTGTTTTATAATCCCTCCCCCAGGTCCACTCCACTGTGCAGCCTTTGTTCTGGACTCCTGTCATGCCAA